ATCCACCCCACCCCGCCCTACCGTAAACCGGCTAATCCAAAAATCCAAAAATTTCCCCACCCATGCAAAGGCATAAAGCTCAAAAAAGAAAGCTCAAAATCACCCCCACTGGGGTAAGATGGAGGCGCTCAACCTGGGTCGTGACGAGAACATAAATCTTTTTGGAGTCGCCCGCCCCCGGGGCACTTATTCCCAGATATTCTCAACGATGTGCTGCGTCGGGCAATTTGCACGAATTTTGGAGGGTCTTTGATCAAAGCAAAGCCGTGTGGATTTGGGCTTTCGGGTGGGAGTATGGAAATTTGGCAGCCGCACGCATGAAGGTCAAGAGGATGCGGGCGGGGGAAGGGGCTTCAAGGCAGGTTTATAAATTCTGTTGGCTCTGGATGTAAATAGCTCGGGCTCTAGGAAAGTACGGCACCGCGACACGCAACGCGCGGACCAGCGCTTTCTATGAGCTGAATTTTATGAACAAAGCCTGGGAGCAAAAGTCAACCTCATCCCAGAATCTAGCCTTCCAAAAAAGCACAACATGATGTTTGTCTTCCCATTTTTAGCTTGGGTTCCGGGAACATTTTGAGAATCTTGGATAAGAAAGACCATTATGAGATTAAAGGAACGTTGAAGGTCGAAAACGAGCACAAAGGGACAACCCGATGTTGGTCTGTAACAAACAAAGTGTGAATTTGCGATTCTCAATGGCAGAAAAAGTGAGAGCGGATGAGAGCGAGCGAGAACGAGAGAAAGAGAGAGAGAGAGAGAGAGAGCGAGCGAAAGAGCGAAAGAGCGAGAGGCCTGTTGAAAGTGAACGAGCGAGAATGAGTGAAAAAGTTAATCAGAAGCGCCGAGAGAATAAAATTCCCACAAAACCTCTGCTAGTCTACCAGCTAAGAAAAACTGGAAAGCTCAGCTTTTGCCCCAGGCATCTTCAATTCCATATTTGCCCTGGGGTGCCGTTCGTCGCGTGTTGATCCTTTTTGGAGAAGAGAAGAGAGGAGAGACAGGATCGCCCCTCCCACTAACCAAAAGCCTCTTTTTCCCCATCTCTCTTACCCGCAACGATGAAATGGCAACTCTGAAATTGGCTTTTTTAGGGGTGGCAAAGCTTTTCTAGGCTTTCCAGGGATCCGGAGAAAGACAGAGAGAGAGAGAGAGAGAGAGAGAGAGAACGAGAGAGAGCGAGAGCGAGAGGGCGAGACAGAGCGAGAGAGTGAGAGAGAGGGCGAGATGGTGCACTGGAGATATCTTCTCGGAAAGAAATAGATGCTAGAAGAGGTGGATACTTCCGTGTAGGAAGGATAACTTCCGTGGAGCGATCAAAACCTGGGCAATTATTTTCTAGGCATCGTTAAGGTGTTAGATACCTATGGTAATACTGTAAAAGTATCGAATATTTAGAATTTCATCTTCCATGCATCATTTTAATGACTACGGATGATTAAATACATCCTTTTGAGAACTTTAGTGGCCTTATAAAGTATCTGGGTGGATTGACTATTATTAATGCCTTTTTGCGCAAAAAAAATTGTGACTCACCCTTTTCAAGCACAAAAAGTGTTCCAATTTTGGAACGGCAGGCGCCGAACAGGTGGTTTAACTGAGAGACAAATAAAAAAATCCGGCCAAAAACTGAATAATGAACTAGAAAAACTTCTGGCTATTTAGCTACTTTGAATTCTTCGAAGAATACGATTATCCTAAAAACGACTAAATAGATTCAATTTATACTGAACTTTTACCTCAAAATCTAAAGTCCAAAAGTCGAAAATTTATATTTTAAAGGGACGGTGAGAGAAGTGTTCGGCCCTGAAAACCAAAATAAAATAAATGCTGCGCTGAACAGGCCAGCAGAGATTTTTTAGGAAGGAAATCTGGACGTCGCAGTCTAAAGGGACCGTGACAGAAGCGTTCGACACGGAAAATGGCAATGAACGGCATGTTAGCTTGGGCAAGCTAGCAGTAATTTTTTAAGAAAGCTGCTTTATCGTGTAAACCGTGCCACAATCTCTTGCCAACGCCACTTCCGTCCGATTTCATAACCAAATTCCCCGAAAATACCATGTAAAGAAATGGGCAGTTGCGCGTCATGAGAAAATGTAGCCCGGTGGCGGTCATACAGCACCCGCTATTTTTGCCTTCCCCTGACTGGCTAGATCCCTCGAGGGGCCCATATGCCGAAAAAGGGACACACACGTGCCCTTGGAATGTCGCCCGGAGGAACACGCACCACATGCAACGACGGAAGGATGGACACTACACACAGCCGTTTGTCCGGGGTATTGTTGCGGAATTTTCGGTGACGGCGGCTTGTCCCTCTTGGGAATCATTACAAGGGTGGGCAAATGCCGTCGAAATGGATGGAGAGTGATGTTCGAACACCTAGTTTTTGCTCAAAAATCATCATATAAGGGGTCCGGCAAGGCAACGGGAGTTGCATCGACACTGGATAACGTTTGCGATGACCAGAGAAAAATATTCGTTCACGCTACATGTCGCGTCGCGGTCAACTCCGGCTCTAACTCCGGCACAAGCCTTGTCAGCGTGACTAACAGGTCGAAGATCAGGAACAGCGATCAAAACTAGCTCGGAATAGACATGGAGCGAGAAAGCGAAAGCGAGAATGAGAGAGCGAAAGAGAATGAGCTAGCGAGAGCAGGAGAGAGAATGAGAGCGACAGCGAGCAGGAGAGAAAGCGAGCGCGAGAATGAGAGTGCGAGTGCGACGATTATAGAGACGGAGCGAATGAAAGGATAGAGAAAGCATGAGAGAGCGGGAGAGGGATGGAGAATGACTGCGTGATGGAGGGCGACAGAGAGCGGGATAGAGAGAGTGAGAGAGAGTGAGAGAGGGCGGGCGAGTGAAGGATGAATAAGATAAACGTTAAATTGGCAATACGGTGTCCTGCCAATTCCCAATCTTGAGAGCTGCCTTACCAGCATTAAAGAGCATTTTCATTGCTTTTAAGACAATTTTTAGGGGGACTGTTATGATATCTTTGAAACGGCAACAATTTGTCGATAGTTTTGGGACACGTGTAATTTTTCTGCAAACGCTTCATAAAAAATACCAAGATTAACGTTTAGAAGCCCCGACAGTCGGAGCAAAGCACAAATCAACACCATTGACGCTGCATTAAGCTAACCTTGCAAAACATTATGTAAAATATGCAATTCCTGGACCAGCGCAACCGATAGGAGCGCGTTGTGTATGTAATGAATATATCCTTTTTCCAGCTTCCCTCTTTCCCTTTTTAGCCGGGCCGACCGGCTATAAAGAGCCACCAACAGCAAATTTATTATGCATCCGCTGGCTATGGGGTGGCTTTTCAGGTGGTCCCAATGGGGGTGAAAGGACCACCAGTTTTTTTTATGAAAGATGAATGTTGCGGCATGGTGAAAGGCTGCTTTTCAGTAGCAATCTTTGGTCGTGTATTTTCATTAAATTGGAGGTGGGTTGATTAGGGTTGGATACGAGAGAGAGAGAGAGAGAGAGAGCGAGAGAGAGAAACACTCCCCTCAGAATTTGCACTTCTCCTGACTATAAAAGCAAAAACAGTAGTATTTTGTCTTTCCGAGCCAGCGAGGTCCTCTGAAAATAAAAACGCCAAGACATAATAATGCTGTTTACATACAAAATTCCCAAAAGGGCACATTCCAACAAGATAGGAAAATACGGGCAAGCTAGCAGAGGTGCTTCAGGAAGCTGAACACGATAATTGACTAATTTTAGGGGCGGATGATTAGAAACAGATTATTGGAACAGGCATGCCAGCAGAGCTTCTTAACGAAATTTTCTGTTTCGTTGCAAAAGTTTAACAAGCAGATATTTTAAGAATAACGCAAATATCCATTGGGATCCGGCAGAAAAAAAATATTAGGACGTGGGCAGGCCAACAGAGATTTTTTGGGGATTTTGCGGTGTTCGACTGGGCTCGAAAACGGACATACGGGAAAGGACATCATTGCGAAGTTACGATTTGTCGTGTTCGAATCCAGGTTTAGCCTTCTTTTGTCGCTTTTTCGTTAGATGAAGCAGGATTTCTCCGGGAAAACCAGCAGAGACCCTTCAGGAAAGGCGATTGAGAATACCTGGTTGTTGATGCATCATTTTTCCAGTTGAAATGTCTGATTGAGTAGATTCCTCGCTCGCAAGCCGCAGAATCTTCAAAACACGCCAGTGAACCCTATTTGCGTTCGAAATTTCAGGTTTCAGCTGAGCCCTCGAGGGCAAGCCTGAAACTTTTAAGGAACCACATGAGACACCTTAGTTTTCGAAACCCCAGATTTCGATATGTCATCCACCCATCGGAGCGACTCATCCTATCTCACCTTCTCCCTCCCTTCCATTGCGTGTTCCAACCCCTTTGATAATTTTTAAATGCGTCAGGGAGATGTGGAAGTCCCGAAAAGGACGTGCCGACCGTTAAGTTTTACGGCCACCACGGGCTGCACAAATATTCCATCGGGGGTGGAGAAGACGGCAGAAGGTGACATGGGCGTTTTGTTATCTGAACTGGGGCGGTGACTCGCCCGCTTGAACTTGGAAGGAAAGTGTCAGCATTTCTTGCCAAACAGGGACTTGTGTTTTCGGCGATACTAGTATATTTAAGAATCCGACTTTCCTGTGGTCTCTGTATCAAGTTCGCCTACAAATCCATAATCTCTCAATCTCATTTTTGTTGTTAAATTTGTATTTTAAACAACATTTTTGAAAAATCGGGTAATTTGCCATTTTTAGCAACTCTAATAGATTTTTACGCATTGTTTGATTTGTATTTGAAGCTCGGTCTTAAGCTCGCTACGCAAAATTTAGGCTAAAAAGGTTGCAGTCTCTTCAATTATTTTTCTAAAAATAAACTGGCTCAGCAAAAAATAAATATGTAAAATTTAGGTTCGTCCAGTATGCGGGAATTTTGTTTGGTGCTTCTAATTCTTGCCACAATTGTTGAAGCTGCAGTCATTCAGCATAAAATTAAATGGCGCCAGTCAGAACGCATGAAAATGGCAAAGTAAGTTGTTGATTACGTTAAAATATTTGAATATCCTTTTTTTTAGATCCGGCCAATGGAAAACCTTCTCGGAAAGCCGGAAGCTCAACCTTGCTGCGCCGAGAGTTTTTGCATCGCACCATCAGGGCGTAAGTTAGAGAGCGAGAGAGGAGAGAGTGAGAGCGAGAGAGAGCGAGAGCGAGAGAGAGAGATAGTGAAAACAGATATTCAAAAACCTGTCAAGAAAAAAAACGTTGATTTTGACGTTTTTGGCCTTTCCAAATTCATAGCAAGCGGAATTGTCATAATTTTCCAGTTAATGGACTACTACGATCTGGAATATATCGGTGAAGTCACCATCGGGACGCCACCTCAGACGTTTAACGTTGTTCTTGACACGGGATCGGCCAATTTCTGGGTTACGTCCAATATTGCTCCGTAAGTGATACTTCTAGCTCTAGTAGACTTCCACAAAGTGAAAGGCTAGGCCCGAAAGAGTCAGAGAGAGAGGGAGCGCGAGAGAGAGAGCGAGAGATAGAGAGAGGCTGTAGAGATACGGTATCTCAGATGCTATATCTAAACTTTAATCTAATTGGATTTCAGAAGCGGCCGAATTCCAAACACCTACAATTCCAATGCCTCAACAACCTATGTAGCCGATCCAAAAGCTTGGGAAATCGAGTACGGCAAGGGGAAGTGCAGTGGTATCCAGGCGCGCGATACCATGGCTTTTGGCACCGGAAAGGATGGTAGGTAAATTTGGATTCTTTTGCTTTGTTTTTATTTTTAGCTTATATTTCCTTGGATTTACTGTACGTTTCTTGCTATTTCTGCTATACCTTAATTACCCAAAATATTTTAGAACTGCGAGTATCGAACACGACGTTCGGGATGGCCACCTATCTCTCAGCTGACATGACCAGTCAAGCGGTACCAGAATTCAACGTATTCGTAGTTCGGCGTTTAGAACTTTGACGGTATCCTCGGGCTTGGCTTCCAATCACTTGCTGTTAATAATATTCTACCGCCACTGATGAACGCGCACGCTCAAGGTAAGGATGAAGGTCAGGGTGCAAACTAACTTTGTTTTTCCCGTCTACACCAGCCTGTTAGTGATCAAAAATGAGTTTTTAGTAGTTTTTGATTGTCAAAAAAGTACAAAACAATATTAAAACATTTTAAAAACCGAACATTTTGACCTTTTTCGTTCATTTCTCATACATTTTTGCCCAAAATGCCATTATTCATGATCGATTTTTATGCGCTTTTTGCGTCGAAAAACTGTGTAAGATCGTATAACAATTGTTTATATTTTGTCATAGGGCCGCACAGGATTCCAGGCAAAAATTAGGGGTTTCCCGCTTTTAACCCCCCTAGCTGACCAGTACCGTTATACGATAACGCTTCTTCCGATTTAATTTTCAATTTTCAGGACTCCTCGACGACCCAGTATTCACGGTGGTTCTTGGACATCGTAACAACGACGCGGGCCCTGCCGGGCAGATCACCTACGGGGCCATCGACACCGAGTCGTGCACTTCCAACTTTTCCTGGGTCCCACTGAGTCGGGCGGCTTATTGGCAATTTACGGTTAGTTTTGAATTTCGACTATATGCATGTCGGCATTTTGAAAGTAACCTCTCCCTTCTAGGTGTCGAAAGCCAGTTTCGGGTCGTTCAGCGGCGGTCCCTACGAGGTCATCACCGACACGGGCACCTCGTTCATCGGTGGTCCCGCCGATGCCATTACCGCTATTGTAAAAGCCCTCGGGGCTTATGTAAGTGGTCTTAAAAACTAACAAAATGGTTCGGCTTCATTTTAGTATGACGACCAATATGATATGTACATGGTGAGCTGCAACGGCGATTTTCCGGATTTCGACCTGACGATTGGTGGCAAGGTGTACAGCGTGACGCCGGTAAGTTAAGGATTCGTACAATTATCAAAATAATTAACTTTACTAATTAATAATTTTTATTAATTTTCTTTAATTTAATTAATTTAATTTACAGTGTTTTAGAAAAACTATCTGCTAAACGATTTTGATGGCACAACCTGCGCGGCCGCCTTCTTTGCCTTTCAGAGCGAGAGTCCAAGTAAGCTTTTATGAAAAGCGGTTTTTTAAAACCGGGAATTTGCTGAGAAAACTATATAGTTACCTTAATATGATGATTTCAATAATTTATAAAACATTTTAGACGCTCCAAAATGGATCATTGGCGACCCGTTCATCCGCCAATTCTGCCACATTCACGATTTTGGCAACAACCGACTCGGGTTGCCCACACAGAAGAAAAAAACGGCCTCAAGTTACTACTTTTTGACGGGTCTCATTGGTGCGATTATGGTGAAATCGTTTTGAGTGATAAAGATATATTTCCACAAGACAAGACTTAAAAAACAGCCAAAAGCTCCGCTCCACTCCCGCTAGCTAAAATACCGACTTGAAAATTGTGTCTAACCGGGTCATAACCGTGGCAGACAAAAATGCCGACAGCCAAAATCAAAATCACGATAGGCCAAAATGTTGACCGCCAAAATGCCGACAACTAAAACCACGACAGCCAAAATCCCGACAATGACAATCACCACCGGCCAAATTGTCGACAGCCGAAACCCCGACAGCAGAACAACCGACATATTCAGAACAACGGTTTAAATGCGCTCCATTTAAACAGCTGCTTCGTATCACGCTATCTAGGCTGTCGGCATTTTGGGTGTCGGCATTTTGTTGTCGGGATTTCGGGGTTTTCTCAGGAAAACTACATTTTCAGTTTTTAGCGACATTTTTACCCCAGTTGCTACATTCAAAAATTTCCGCAGCCGACATCAGCTTTTCCCGATAACAATTGCTGCTGTCGAAAATCACGATAACCGACAAAAATGGCAGGCTAACCGGCTTTTGATAAAAAGGGTGTTGTGACGCCCTAAAGGCTTTTAAATGACGGTGTTCTAAAATTGGGCGTCAGTGGTATATTTATTAACAATTTGAACCGGATAATTCAAGAACCAACACAACATAATATCAAAGTTTCGAAGGGGAATTCGGAAAACGACCGAGTTGGAGAGATTTACTGTACGAAAGGGGACTGGTGGGATATCTGAATTTGGGCACGTCCAAGAATCAGGGTGATTCCCGGAATTTGGAGAGCTGGTCCCCGGAATCGTTTTCGGAAATGGATTTCGGAAATGTTATTTGTGTGATTCGCTGCTCTCTTCGCTTGTAGCCATACCGTAAATGGGCTGATTCAGGCGATCGTGGGTAGTTGAGCTAATTAGACTAACTAACTAGTAAGTCAGAGTCAGAGACTCCTGAGCGCCGTACCGTAGCCAGGCCTCGGCCAGGGAAGCACGAAATCAAAACATGAGTGTTTTCAGAGAGTGCCCAAAAGAGCGCCTGGGGTCCTTTTATACTAGCTGTGGCGCCCTAACGGCTGAAATATGTCGGTGTTCTAGATTGGGCGTCACGGGTATATTTTATTAACAAGTTGTTGGCACGCTATATAAGATACGGGATTATAACAAACAGGACTTGGAGGAATTTCGGAATGGGGGATTCGGGAATTTCGGAATGTGATTTCCGAAAAGGGAATTTCGGAAAGGGAATTTCGGAATTGTTCGTATTCGCTTGTCTCTCTTTCGCCCGTAAGCTTTACTGTAACGCGTGGTACAGTGAAGCTCTTTTCAGGCGGTTGAGGGAGTTTTTAGCGAAGTGTCGCGAGGTGTTGTGTTGTCGTGTTCTTTGAGTTCTTTTATAGCCGCCCCATTTGGGCGTGGCTAGAGGATTTCGAAATGCTCCCTATGAGGCCTGAATTCCGGAATTCCCTGTCGAATTCCGGAATGAATTTCGGAAAATCGGGACTACCGTGGGGGTTTGTTTATACTCTTAGCTCTCGCTTTTTCCCCATGATGGGGGTCGTTCCGACACTAGCCTTTTTTTGGGCGGAGCTGGATAGTTTCGAACCAGCGCTCGCGAGGCCCTATCAAGCCGAATTCCAGAATTCCACCAGGAATTTCCGGAATACATTTAGAAATTGCCGAGGGCTACGGTTGGCTCGCGCTTGCCATTTGTCCATATTAACCAATGTATGATCGAAAGGTTTCGCCCCAGGTGACTACGTCACAGCTCTCGCTTTACCCTGAAAAGCGTCCGTTCCGACCGGGGGTGTGGCGCCCACAAAGCTCTATGTCGGTGTTCTTAAAGAAGGTTTGGGCGTCACTGGGTTATATTTTATTATACGAGAAAGTTAATAGCTTAATTATTACAACAGCTTATATTTCACGAGGGGGAGTTACCCAGGAATGGAATTTCTGGTTAATAAATTGCAATTTCTCTGGAGTTCACCAATCGTGCAAAGTCGTAGCCTAGTCTGGGGCCACGAAAGCAAAGGAGCACGATGGGCTGTGAAGTTTTTCAGAGAGTGACGAGTGGGGCCCGGACAGGCTTTTTATCCTAGTGGGGCCCATACGGACTCCGCCCAGCGCTTATATTCGAAACCCTGATGGGCTTTCGAAATAGGGCCCCGCTGCTCCTAGTTAACCTACGCATTCCATTTCTGAATAATGGTCGGATCTCAGTTCCGACATGAGTGTTTTCAGAGAGTGCCCAAAAGAGCGGCTGGGGCCCTTTATACTAGCCCTTTTCCGGGCGGAGCTGGATAGTTTCGAAAAGTGAAGCGTTTCGGAAAGCTGTTCGTATATTTGCTGTCACTCTTCGCTTGCAGCCCTACTGTAAGTTGGTTACAGTGAGCTGATTTAAGCGATCGTGAGTGGTTAAGCGAAGCGCTAGAGGAGCTCCTCCAGGCTCTTTTATAGCAGCCCCTTTTTTGGGCGTGGCTGGATAGTTTCGAGATGCTCTCGCGGTCCCTATGAAGCCGAATTCCGGAATTCCACATGGAATTTCGGAATGAATTTCCGAATGATTGGGGATTACCGTTGGGTCTGCGTTGGCTCTTTGTTTATGCTCTAGCTCTCGCTTTCCCTTGATGGGGTCGTTCCGACAGGGGCTGACTTGACACGTGACAGCGTTTGTGAAAAAAAATTCATCTGCAGCTGGTGTTCAAAATTATTTGAAGTCGCGCTTTGGGAGCCAAATTAAGAGCGGAATCTGACCAATCGAGATGATAATCATTGTGGCGCCCAAGGAGCTTACAGTCGGTGTTCTTAGTAGAGGTCTGGGCGTCACTGGGGTATATTTTTATTGTACGAGAAGTAGAGGATACAATTATTACAATAATCTAGATTTACGGGGGGTGGCTATCCAGGAATGGAATTTTATAATAAAATGTAAATCTTCTGAATGTTCACAGATCGCGCAAAGGTCGCAGCCTAGTCTGGGCCACGACAGCGGGGGGAGCACGATCGCTGTGAAGTTTGTTCAGAGAGTGAGCTAGTGGGGGCCGGGCAGGCTTTTTTATAGTGGGCCCGTACGGGCTCCGCCCAGCGCTTATTTTCGAAACCCCTGACGGGCTTTCGAAATAGGGCCCCGCTGCTCCTAGTTAACCTACGCATTCCATTTCTGAATAATGGTCGGATCTCAGTTCCGACAATCATCTTCCCGATATACGGCCCCGTCTTACGCACCTGTGACAGTTGAGTCTATTGTAGATTTTTTTATTTTTTTTTGTGGAAAGGATTCTAAGCATCACCCAGTGGTTTGCAATATCGGTACGAGTTCAATCTTCCAGCTAACATTTTTGGTGCAGCCTCGCCTTTAATAGCCTTGCCTGGGGTTAGATAAGGAGAGGGGATAAGGAACTCGGGGCCCATGTAAATTTAGAGAGGATCGACATCATCCGGTCAAATCAAGCGCGGATGTCCTGATTTGACACAGTGGTGGAAAGTGGGTCTCCACGGCACGGGATGTATCTTGGGTGGCCGATCAGAGAGCAACACACGTGCTTTAGATTTTAAGAAGCAGTGGTATTTCGTATGCAGATGCGTATGTACGGTCTGCGCCTTAACTATAATCCCGAGGTATGGCGATCATATAAGGTTCGCCTTTAATACCACGAGGCGTGGTGACGCATCAAACTTGTAAAATTTCAGGGAAGGTAAGCCGAATTCAGTGGGAGAGACAAGTTCGCCAAAGACTGGGAAATTGGCCAGTTCTTTCTAAACATTATCCATTTCTAACTTTTAGCGGGTAGTTTCGACACTTCCTCCGCAGCAAAAAAAAAACTAATTTTATACCGGAAGACCGGTTTACTCTAGAGTGTGAGGGTTTTGAAGCAAATTATTGAAGCGGGTGGGTGGGAACGCATTACAGGCAAGTTGAAGCCGCCCTATAAATTGGGAGGAAAAATCCAAAAAGAGGGATCAGACGTAGCCTGGGAAAAAGATTTTTCAAAAATTTTGAGTAATGGACAATTGATTCTAAATTGCGCTCGGGGCAAAACATTGCTACGTGACCGTAGGTGTCATGTCTTTGCCGAGTTTACCGGCAGGTAGATCGTATGGGGTGTTTGTTTGTGAAGTAAATTGGCATCCATTGTTGTTCTGGTGGATGTATGTAGAAGCCCGGGCTGCGATATCTTCTTCCTAAAATGCATATTTACCTTGTGCCTTCGAGGCGCGGTATTCTGGACCCGTCTTCGTTTGTTCGCCTTTCTGCGTTTTTTTTTCGAAATCGGATAGCACCGGGGTAATTTTGTTAAATTAGGGCCAACTTATCCGAGATTTTATGCTTTTGCCTCGTTTTAAAAGTACTGGATAAATGAAAGAACATGTTGAGGAATTTGCGAGGAACCTACAACTTAGAGCTGCGTTGTTTCTCGAGGATGTCCGGGTTCTCTTGTGCTTCGCTGAAAAGGTATTCAGGCGAGATTTCGATTCCACTACGTCAGGATCAAATTTGAGTCATGGATGTTGGCCAGTTGAGCTGTTTGATATTCACCTAAAATAGCATTTTTTTTTTGTTTCCTTCTATTGAACCTACGAATTTGAAAAACAGTGTAGGTATCGTTGTTTAGCGAGGGCAGTAGTCCTCGCAGTGAAGCCGAAGGATGATAGGCAGTCGGCGCATTGTGGAAAAATTGCCACAAGTCGAGATTGTAGAGACCTGCAACAACATATTCGAAGAAAATTAAAGCATAATAACGCTATAAACGCCAAAAATAATCATTAGCAATCGCCATTTTAGGCTGGCGAATTGGACCATCAGACTGTCGTAGCCGGGCCAGGTGTGGCAGCGAGATCAGATTTCTATAAACATCAACTGGACAGCAATGCACCCAGCGAGGATACTTATCATCTGGGTTAAAGGTTGTAGAAGCAAAAGCTTGTTCGAAATAGTTTTTAAAGCTTTCTAATTTTTATTCCATTTCAAGTAGTTTCTTACTTGCAAACTCCCCAAATTGGTTTTCCTGTTTAGATGTCGGCCAAGCCTGCAACGAAAATCCCCGGGGCGGGCCTGAAAAGAATGGGCAAGATTTTTTTTTCTTGGGTTGGAATAAAACTAAAACTTTACTACCACTAGAAGCCTGTTAATGAAAACCCCTCTAAATCCTCGGAAAAACGATCTTCAAAAAATATTTCAACGCTTTCTCTTTCTATTAACATTCGCCTGCTAATAAACTTTTTACCTTATAGCTCGTGAGGAATTTATTTTGTTTATATATTTATATTAAAAAGGAAAAGTACGCACCGATACTATAACGTGTCACTAGACTGCAACAAATCTACCGTAGTCGCCACGAGTTGGGGTGCAATAAAACGGGACCATGACATTTCCGCCAACGACAGTTCCGCCAAAGCGGGAAACGACAATTCCGCCACAGGCGACATTTCCGCCACTCTATTAAAACGACTTTTCCGCCAAATCGGGGTCAAAAAAAAATATAAAACCTTCCAAATACAATATTTTCTCGGTGTTTTCGCTATTTATAAATTCATTTAAGACCGTAAAGACCAGTAAATAAGAAATTACGATGCGGGGGCTATTTTAGGCATCATACAAGACTTTGTACGGTTTGCGCGACAACTCTGTTTTCAAGCAAAAAAACCATAATAACTTTGCTATTTTCTTCGGAAATGTCTAAATACTCGACAGAAAAGCGTTTTTGGGGCTATTATAAGCATGGAGCAGCCCATTGTGCCATTTCTGACTAGAACAAGTCTGCGTATTTCGCTCATGGAAACTTCAAATAGTAGCTACAACATTTCCTTCAATCGAAGTAATGTTGATTTACTTCGTTACAATAAGAATCTGCAAGAAAAACAAAGAAAAAGGGTGAAACGAGCATTTCTAGGGAAGAAATCGTTCATCGACCGAGAACAGCCAGAAGAACCCACAAAATAGCCCTCCTGAATCGTAATTTGTTCTCTACTAGTCTTTACTGTCTTAAATAAATTTATAAATAGCGAAAACACCGAGAAAATATTGTATTTGGAAGGTTTTATGTTTTTTTTACCCCGATTTGGCGGAAAAGTCGTTTTAATAGAGTGGCGGAAATGTCGCCTGTGGCGGAATTGTCGTTTCCCGCGTTGGCGGAACTGTCGTTGGCGGAAATGTCATGGTCCCAATAAAACGCGTCATCATTTCCACTTTTCAACAAAATTTTGCTAATTGCGGCTTTTTTATATCTGTAAAAGGCTGGCTTTTCATTCATTTTTCAATCTGAAACATGTTTTCCCAGGGCGTTTACGATTCGCGCGTTTTATTTTTGCCATATCCATCTACTTGTCCAAAGTCGCGCCGAAAACTCCAATCATTTTCGATTTCTTCTTCTTTTCCATATTTTTCTAAATCTCGTTTTTCAGAAAAATGCCCGGCGGAAAGAACGATTCGGCGTTCAGCTTCGAGGACTTCCCCGCTCTACCCGGCTCCTCTTCCAACGACAAGCGAGTGCGCGACGACGAGGCGAGCTGTTCGGAGGCGCTCCTCAGTAGCTACCAAGAGCCCACATCCGCCAACCAATCGGTACTTTTTTATCTGAAGTATTTAATTAACTCTGCTTTAGTTACAAAGTACTTTCGAAGACACGATAAGCGACAACCAGGCGCCGAAAGCAATTCCAACGCAATCGGAGACGAATTTACCTGGCGGTGTGTTTATTTTACTTTTTCGGCGTTGCTTTTACTAAAAAACGCTGTTTTTCACGCGGCTTTTGCTGTCCAAAATATTGTTGCGTTATTGTCTCTTTTCAGATGAAATAGCGATCCCCTACGGAATGCTGAAGGACCAATACGGGCTGATGGCGATCGCCTCCTACCTGCGCCTACCTCGCGAGTCGCCCACCACGATGTTAGCCCTCGGGATGAACCTGGCGTCGCTCGGCATGGAATTGACATCACCGGCACCGTAATTTTCCACGATTTTCGGTTGATTCTCTTTTTTTAGTCAGAAGAACACGCTGTTGCTGCGCCGCTTCGGCGGCCCGTTCGCCAACTTCCCGGCCCGACCTTTCGAGATCGACGTCGAGACGCCGCCCGCCTACCGATTCTCCACCAACCTCCTCCACCGGCTCGCCGGCCCGCAGCTGAACAAGCAGCACGAGGACGTCCTCTTCTACCTCTTCTACAACATGACCGGCGAGGCGTACCAGCTGGCTGCTGCGGCTGAACTGTACGGTTTCTGTTATTCTTTTTATTGGTTTTTTTCGGCTTAACGGAGGCTTTACGCTTTTCATCTAGGATTAGCAAAGGATTTTTACGTAGTTTTTCAGTCAAGTTTAGTTGAATAACTAGTTAAAGCTTTGTAAAGATCTTTCTAACACTCCAAAAATGTTTCGAAGCATAAAGTTTTGGTCAAAATTTTTTTTATCTTTTTTCTTTTTTGGTCCTTTTTACACATTGTTGACTAAGTTTGCAAAAAGTTCCTCCTTTTCTATGGGAAAGAATTGCGTCAAGAGAAAACTGTATATTTTTTTTTAGTTACGCGCAAAACTGGCGCTATCACAAGGTGGAATGCATCTGGTTGACGCGGAACAAGTTTGCAAACTTTCTCGACCAGACGGGCTCGTCGGAGCGCGGCACGTACACAGTTTTCGACCCGGTCCATTGGGCAAAGGTGAATTCTACTTTTCTAAAAAATGATTCTTTATTTTTAGGTACAACGCCCGATGCACCTCGTCTACAGCGAGCTGGCCGAGCGCCCGATGGTCGACCCGCAGATGCTGAAGGAACACGGCTGCTCGGAGCAGCTGATAATCGACGCCCAGTCGGTCGTCCTCGCCAACCACCTCCAGCAGCAGCAGCTCGACCCTAAACTGCCTTGATTTATTTATACCTGTTCCCGTTGCCTTTTGATTTTTTAAGTTGCTTTTACTGTTGACTAGGAACACGGTATCTTAATGCGATAAATTGTCACTCTTACAACTTTGTAAAGTATCACACTCGATTGAAAATACGAGAAAGTTTTTGAACAGCTGCAGGGGAACACGACTTTGCTGCGGATACACTTGTTTTATCTAGTTTAGAGTTTCGCTGCGTTGATTTTGTTACTAATGGAGGAAAATGTAGCATTTGCCAGTTGGGAGTAGCATATTTGATTTTGGTACTTATCAAGTTGGGGGGGGGGCCACTTTGGTTTTCGACTTTTTGAGTCTTTCTAGGCTAGTTTTTTGTGCTGGTTCCGAATATAACAAAATCAGAGTAGTAAAACATGATTATCTAAACGTTTGTTAAGAGTTAGAGTTTCAGCTACCCAGTTTGAGCCTAAAAATAAGGCTTCGTGCCACCCGGGGCCTAGTCGCTTCGGATGGGTGCGAGCTCGTACAGGGTTTCGAAATCGGGGCGCCCGAGGAGCGCGAAGCGCCCAGGCGCCCCGATTTTGAAAGAGTGGAGCGGCAGCCCATCCGAAGCGACGGCCCGCCTTGCCTGACGATGCGGCATGCCCAAATTGTGCATAAGTCCACTTTTTATTAATAAATTTTTTACGCTGTTTTTCTGGATAAACCCAACGGTTTGACATGCTGTTGCGACTCTAATCGCATTCAGCGTAAAAAACTACCCCAGAAAGACTCGAAAAAGCGATAAAAAAGTGTCTCCTAATAGGTACCCAAAGTGGCCCCCCCCCAACTTGATAAGTACCTTGATTTTTTCTAGATATGGAGCGCCATTTTTCAGGCTTGTTTTAGGAATCTTAATAGTTAGTAGGACTTCCGGTCGCGCTCTACAACCGCTTATGCTGGGTATCGGAACCGCTACGTCCTTTTACTGCTGGCAATGGCGCCATGTGTCAGCTCCACCAGGGAATTTCCTCGTTATATCTCCAGCTTTTCCTAATGTAGCAGAATTATCCATTTCTCTCGCTTCTAGTGCTTTTCCCCGGTATTTACAACTGATTTACTATCAATTTTTCAGGCAAAATGGGTGTCGTGGAGAAGATCCAGGAGATCGAGCGCGAGATGGCGCGCACCCAGAAGAACAAGGCCACCGAATATCACATTGGGTTGTTAAAAGTGAGCCTTTTACGGTAATTTTTAATTTGTTTGCTTTAGGCTAAATTGGCCAAACTTCGACAGCAACTACTCGAACCAACAGGGAAAGGCGGAGCAAAAGGAGAGGGCTTCGATGTAATGAAGAGTGGTGATGCTCGAGTGGCCATGGTAATAATATAATTTTATTGAATTCTGTATATGTTTAGGTGGGTTTCCCGTCAGTCGGAAAATCTACTCTTCTTTCTTCGCTTACGAAGACCCACTCCGAGGCGGCCGGCTATGAATTCACGACGCTGACTTGTATCCCGGGTATAAATTGCTGTAAAATGTTTGATTTACGGTTTTTAGGAGTCATTGAACATGAAGGCGCGAAAATCCAACTCCTCGATTTGCCCGGAATTATTGAAGGTGCCGCACAAGGAAAAGGTAACGAAGCTTTTTCGATTAATTTCTTGAATTCTAGGTCGTGGTCGGCAAGTCATTGCTGTGGCAAAAACTGCCGACTTGGTGCTGATGATGCTCGACGCCGGGAAGAGTGACCAGCAACGAGCACTACTTGAGCGCGAACTCGATTCTGTCGGCATCCGGTTAAACAAGAAGAAGCCGCAAATTTACGTGCAAATCAAGAAGGTACATTATTTCCTATAAAATCGTGTTCTTTTTAGGTGATAAAGTAGTTTTGCTATGAGATAGCCGATTCGATCGAACTTGAGTTTCCAAACAAGCTCCATAGTTCTAAAAATGCTGAACTAACCGTATCGATAAATCGCGTGAAAGTTCTCATTTCGGTCAGCGTGCTGAAAGTTGGTAAAATCGTCCGCTTTAGTGTGTATGCTTGCGAACGCCATTATAATTTTTAGTCCTTTTTTATAAACGGCTCTTTCAAAATCTCAACTTCTATCGAATCGGCTATTTCACGTCGCGAAAAGCTCTCTTTCTAAACACATTGATTTTCAGGGTGGCGGCGTCCGATTCACGCACACCGTCCCGCTGACCCACGTCAACGAGAAGCTGATCATGCACGTGCTCCACGAATACAAGCTGTTCAACGCCGACGTCGTTTTCCGAGAAGATGCGACGTAAGCTGCCTTCCTGAGATCGACATTTGATGTTTTTTAGTATTGACGAGTTCATCGACGTGCTCCAGGGCAATCGCGTCTACATCCCGTGTCTCTACGTGTACAACAAGGTCGACTGTATTTGCATCGAGGAGGTGGATCGGTTGGCTAGGTAAATTTTGAAGTTAAAACTTCGTAGTATGAAAATAACAGAAAAATATTGATGATTTTCTTTTTTTCCAGGCTCCCCCACCACGTCGTAATTTCGTGCGAGATGAACCTGAACCTCGACTATTTGGTGGACGTCATCTGGGACTACCTGGCGCTCGTGCGCGTCTACACGAAGAAACCCGGCAATCAGCCTGATCTTGGTATAAATATAATGTAAACGATTATAACAGTTTTTAGGCCCCGAGGACGGCATCATTTTGCGAAGGGGCGCGACGATCGAGCACTGTTGCCACGCACTCCATCGAACACTCGCCGCGCAATTTAGGTGAGCCCGCCTTGTTCTTTTTTCGGGTATTTTCCGGTTAGGGGGAGAAGCAAGAAAATTTTAAAGGGTTTTTGGGGGTTTTTTTTTTTTTTTTTTTTTTTTTCTTTTTTTTTCTTAATAGTTTTTTTTTTTTTTTTTTTCTCTAAACCTGGGAAAAAAGAAGAAAAAAAACAACAAACAACAAACCTTTATTTTTTTTTATTACCAAAATAAAAAAATTTAAAATATATAGGGGTTTTAGTTTTTGTAATTATTATGCATCGAAAACTCTCAAAAAACAGTGAAAAAATTTCTTGCGTATAAATACTAAATCCTCTTAAATTTCTTTGCATTGGAATTATAACTATTTTATTCACCATTTTTTTCTAGATACGCAATCGTCTGGGGCACGTCACCGAAATTTTCGCCACAACGGGTCGGCATCAAGCACCTCCTGGACCACGAGGACGTCGTGCAGATTGTCAAAAAATAATGAATTTTTCCGATTTTGCTGTTTTTGTGATAGTCTTCGTGTCTTTTCGAGCCTTTCCCCCGTTTTCGGTGACACTGTCTTGTTGTATTTCCCTGATCAGTGGATTTGTTACAGTTTCACCGTTGTTTGTGTTTTTTTTTTGGTGGTGCGCGAATAAAGAAGAAAATAAGCTTTTGCTATTTACGATCGGCAGGTCTTGCATTTTTGCGGGTGTATTTTGATAGATTCTGTGTGCTCCTCTCTTTTCGTAAATCCGATTGGTCCTCTTGCTGGCCGAGATTGAAATTAGCTTGTCGTTGTTAACACGTTAACATGTTGCTAGCGATCCGGCGGGGGTACCGCGGCTGGGTTTTCTCTAATTAGCCATACCTTTAGTGTGGCATTTGCATAAACGATCGGCGCGGAACCCACCATCTGGCATGAAAGGTCAGCTAGGCGGGCAGATACCCAAGCGACAGATTGTAAGGAAGTAGCTGACCTCAGCTATAAATTATTTTTGCTATTTTGGTCGGCGTCGTTTTTCCGTCTAACAGCCGATCGGCAGCCGTTACAATGCCTTTTTGGAAGTAAGCGTAAAAGGCATGGTGAATTTTTAATGTAGTGGACTTATCACTCGCATCGGCATGCTGTTACAGTGCCGCTTCAGAAGGCCTTGATTCTAGAGCCTTTAGAAACCTATTTTCAGACGAATTTTAATTATATTTCGTCCTGGAGACGCTCGACCAACAAGCCGGAGCTCATGGTTTTTCGACCAATTAGTCGATCCATTGGATTTGAAACCTCATATTTTTAGTTTACCTTATATCGGTATAGCGTGCGATTTGAACCCATTTTAAAATTTTAATACTTTTTTAAATATCTTTATCGAACTCGAGCTATATTTTGTACAGGCGCTGATCGATCGATCGCTTATTCCCCCCCCGCCCCCATCCAGTCTTCTATGTCAATCGATCCCAGCATTTTCCCCTTGGCAAGGGGGGGTGGGTAGTGTTGAGGGTGAATGATTGTTGTCGAGGGGAGGGGGGTGCACCCTCCCTCCCGCCCTCCCCCCTTTCTTCTCTCTTCTTCTCTCTTCCGCTCTCTTTCACCCTCCCCCACTTCTTTCATTTTGGGGGGTTGGCGGGAGACCCGTTGGGGGGCTATCGATCCACCCATTGGGGGGCATCGCTAAATCCCGCCAATTTCTGGCCCCGATACCGGACCTGAGAGTTCAAATGGTCTCTGCTAGCATGCCCGTGTGGCTATAGGGTCATTCTTGGGGCTCGAGTTTCTCGTAATTCTCTTGATTCTCGTTTTTTTTTGGCTTAGGAATACGGTATAAAAGATAAAGAGAGAGAGAGAGAGAGAGAGAGAGAGAGAGAGAGAGAAAGAGATAACCGGATCACCCTCAACCGTTTTAAGGGCCTCAAAAGGCCTGCTCTAATGGGTTATCAAAAGAGGAATTTAAGCTGACTGCCTTCTACGGCTCTTTAAAATTTTTAAAGTTCTAGAAATTTGGGAAAAACGCGCTTTTTGGAGTATTCTCTAGCTTTTCACTCACCGCCTCCTAGGGCGACCGTAATCCCTGATTTTTCCAAACAAACCTTTCTGGCTTCTCTACCGTATTCAGCATTGTAAATCCGCTAGAAATTAAATTAATCGATACCGTGCATTACTGTGCCAAAATTCTTTTGGATTTTGGCGCATTTCTGCATTTTTGGGCATTTCAATTCCTTACTACTGTATTCCCCGATTTTTTTGAGAGATCACTCTGAAAATTTAAATATACCGTACCAGCTGAAAATTCTCTCCCTCCCCCTCTTTATAAAAATGGATCGGGTTGTGGAGGGGGAGGAAGGGGGGATCACCCCTCCCCCCTTCACAACCCCCCACGGGACACCCCCTCTATCTGCTTCTCTTTCCCTCTTTCCCGCTATACCCTCGTTTTCTTTCTCTCTCTCTCTCTCTCTCTCTCTCTCTCTCTCTCTCTCTCTCTCTCTCTCTCTCTTTTCTATTCCCTCAGTGGGCGCGACCCCAGCCAAACACCCCCTCCCCTTCCCCCATTCCCCCACCCAGCCAGGCCAGCACACTGCCTGGGTGGGTTACTCGTTTCAAAAAATTTGCTCGGGATTGTTTAGTTCTTACTTCCTTGTTTTAGTTAGAGTTTAACCGCAGATTTTTAGAGGGCAAAAACTCGCTCCAGAAATACCTGGCATAATCGGTTCTCTTTTCCCAGGCTCAATTGTGTCGTTTTTGGCCCGTTTACGGCGGAGTTTCTAGGTGATTTTATCTGGTATCAGCAATTCCCAGGAGTTTAGTTTTCAATCTCTAAATTTTAAGACAAGACGGTTGCGTTTACCTAGCGTAATCGGTCTTTTTCGTCCTTCTAGGCTAAATTTCTCAATATGCTTAATTTTTAATAGGTTCTTTGGTGCTTCCTGGTTATCGGGGGTCGGTTATTTTAGCGGGGGTCGGTTGGCATCTTCTTTTCGTTTAGCCTATACCTGCCTAGTGATAAATTGTAGTTTATTTTAATACTGTTTTTAGTAGCTTCCGATAATCAAAAATTATAAAAATATTTATCCTATAGTCACGAAATCTAGGGTTATAGCGCGGTTTTAGCCATTTTCATATACGTTAGACCGAAAAAGAAATTTTTTTTCAACATGTTTTATGACGTTTTTCTTAATGTCTCCTCCCCCGCTAACAGTCCAGAACCATTTCAAACGGCGCACAAGTCTATAAAAACGGCCAGTTTTTAATTAGCCGAGCCGCACGATATTATAGAAAAAAGTTCGCAACCGACCCCCGCTAAAATAACCGACCCCCGATAACCAGGAAGCACCGGTTCTTTAATGAATCTGTTGAGATACCATCATCCTCAAGGGGTTTAGCTATAATGCGATAGAACTTAAAATTTCCCCTATCGGTCCATCCAGCGTAACGGAATGGCTTACTTCTCCTACCGACCTTTAAAACGCGCTTTTAAGGGTTTTTTGCTGCTTTTCAAATGTCTTGGTTTGTAATACGATATTATAAGCCATATTTAACTTTCTAGACCTGAAATGGACACGGACTTTATGCAAGACAGCCTCAACCTCCACGACCTTCTCTCGGCCACAGCTCAATATGGCAACGCCACCAGCCCGTCGAAGAAGAAAAAGAAGTCGGATACGGTAGGTATTTGAAGTGCTTATTGGGCGTTACTAGATACAAAATCCCTGGTTTTTTGCCCATTACTGTGTGTAGAAACGCAATGGAAACGAGAGGAAAATCGATGGTTTTGGCGGCTGGGGGGGGGTGGCTATGGGGAGGGTGTCCTCCTCCCCGGCTAAAAGGGGTAATAAGCCCTCTTCCCCCCCTTTAGAAAGTTTAAAAGGCAGGAATATCCGAGTTTAGTGAAATTTTACGGCTATATAAACGCATTACTAAATTTGTAGTGTAAAAAGGTATATCGACATTAATTTTAAGGTATTGTTATCATACGGTATTGAGATGTCGTGAAAATTGGTCTATTTTTGTGTTAATAGCGTAGGTTCTTTGCCGTTTTAGTGGTTTAGCATTTTGAGGGAGTAAGAGCGCGCAATAATCTGGGTCTTCGGAAAGCTACAGCAATTTTGGGCGCGAATTTTCAACTAAAAAATAAATAAGTTAAAATAAAATAGATACGGCATTTATCTAGGTGATTTACACGTCTTCATAAACTTATTTTTTCAGAAAGATGCCGTCGTCCCGATCATGAACACCAACCTTTCGGCGACGGCTTTTGGCGGGCCATCTACGTCCATGTATTTTGCTGGTGACGAGCAGAAATTCAACCCGATGCTGATGAGTGTGAGTTTCGAGACCATTTTGATTTACTCTACCTTGAAACCAAATAACTTCCACGATTTTTAGCCCGCATCCGCTCTGCACTACATGCCACGGCCGGCGCCTAGATTGGAGATCGACTACCACCCGTCTTACAGCGGTTAGTTGTTTTGGGATTTTCAAAGCGATGAATGAGGTAAAAAGACGGCTTTTCGATCTGGATTTCATATGGATTAGGCGCCGCGCGCGACAAGGCGCAGTCCCGCAGCACGCACGGCATTACGCAACCTTTCATAGCGGCCAAACCGCGCGTTGCGTGTCGCGGGCGCGGCTTAATCCATGATTCCATTGCGAGGCATCAATAGAGATGACTTGCGTGTCCCTTAAATAGCTGTAGTTACAGATCGGTACAACGTCTTTTTCAGAAACCTTCGGAAAAGCCGTCAAAACGATCCCCATCAAGCCGACCGTTTCCCTAAACCGTGCCCCCGCCAATGGCTTCGACTTGAACACGTTCGGGCAGAATAAACCGGACCGGAAGCGGAAGTACGATGACAACGAATTATGGCCGGCCGAGGATGGGGGAGGTTGGAATACGCTTCTTGATCAAGACCTTGCTTTTTTAGTCTGGCTGAGCCAAATCAACACGTGGGAGGACTTCAAGCAGTTGGTGCCGGATGAGTGGAGCTGTGTGAAATTGCTGTTCCGAGAGCAGATGCTCAGGAGCGATCCGCTGTGCCCGAAGTGTGGAAGGATCATGAAATTGCGAGCGAGGGGAGCTGCTTTCGAGGTTGGTGCTTAGGGTTAAAGGAGCCGGAAAGGTCCCGTTAGCATGAGCACTTATCTACCGGTACACCCAAACCTGCCCAATCATCTCCCGAATTCCATCAGTCTTCAATTCAGTGGCGATGCCGTCGACCTGGCGGTGGTGACTGCGCCTCCCGCTCCATCAAACGAGACTCCTTCTTCGAAGATGCTCGGGCGGGTATCCGCAAGAAGTTCGCCCATCTGTTGATGTGGATTCATACGTAAGGATCGATTTCTAGAAGCTGTATAGCATTTTTTTTAGCCAAAAACCATCAGCCATCTCGAAGGAGATCGAGTTGTCGCTCAAATGTCTGCACGAGCAGAGGGCCGAGTTCAGATCGGTTTGTACGAGGTATGGGTACGAGATATTTTTGTATAAATTCTTTTAGAATTACTTACGGATATCCGCGACTTGGCGGCAATGGCGCACTTGTTGAGGTCGGGACGATAGATGTTCAGCATAGGGATCTTTCGCCTCATGGAACGAGCAATCAGACGTTGACTATCGTTGCAGGTGAGATAAAGAGCGATAGTGAGAACGATAGGGTGGGAGAGAGTGGGAGCGCGAGAGAGAAAGAGCGAGCGAGGGGGCGGGAGAGCGAGAGAGAGAGAGAGAGAGAGAGAGAGAGAGAGCGAGAGCGAGAGAGATACTGCAAACCCCGTTTTTTCTAGGCTGCGACTTGAACTCCAACAAGTCATTTGGAAAAGTGGTGACCAACTCGAGCGATTTGCTGAAGGCACTTTCCGATAATATCGAGCCGGACTCCATCATTCGCACCAACATCTTCAACGAGCCGGTATCAGATCATCTACATTTTTTAAAGCAATTTTAGCAATACGAAGTCGGCAAAAGTCTGTTCTCCAAGTACATCCCGGTGAACGAGCAAGAGTTGAGGTGAGCTTCTGGAAAAGATATCACTCCGATTCTGAATTGTGTCGGATATGGATTTGAGTAGATTTTCTGGAAATGACAAAAAAAAAAACGAGTTTTCGAGCAAGAAAGGCCAATTTTGGACTGGAATTTTCGCCAACTAATGTAAGACATTTTTCTAGATTTTTCTTAGTTCACGGAAGAGAATTGGCGGGGTTCGCGCGAGGTCGGCGAGGGGGTTTCGGCAGTACTGCCCCGCCACGGATAAAGGTAAGGGCCAACCCCCGGGGAAACCCTGCCAACCCCCTCGCCGACTCCGCCAACCCCCTCGCCGACCCCGCCGAACCCCCGGGCAGACTCCGCGGAACCCCGCCGAACCCCCTCGCAGACCCCGCCAAACCCCCTCGCAGACCCCGCGGAACCCCCTCGCAGACCCCGCCAAACCCCCTCGCAGACCCCGCGGAACCCCCTCGCAGACCCCGCCAAACCCCCTCGCAGACGCCGCCGAACCCCCGCGCAGACCTCGCCGCATCCTGCGTTTCTTTTGCGTACCTAGGCTTTTCCTTGCTAATTCGGTGCATTTGCATACCAATCAAGCATATAGAGGCACGAATATATTTATCTTACATCATACAAACATTATAGCACATATCACATGCAGGGAAAGCAGCAATACACAAGACACAATGTGAAAATATAGAAAAAAGTGTTAATAATATACAATCCATAAAAAGTAATGTAAAACATATATTAAAAATACTTCCCGGTTTCCCTGTCGGCCGTGCGTCGTTGCGTCGAATTGCATGGACCGCTGCCATGGGGTTTCCGCGCTGCGTTGCGCCGTCCTGCAAAAAACATTGTACAAAAATTAAAGCACCAATAAAAATGGCAACCTAAAGTTAGAGCGGTTTGTAAATATCGAGCCGTTTGCAAAAAGCATCTTTCATAAATGCTATGTTAAATACTTTAGCGAAGCCAGATCAAAAGAAAGTATATTATCAGGCAAAGTTAGAAATAAAAGTTATAAAAGGAAAAGTAATTGCTAAAATGAGCTAAATTAGTTAAATGTTTATGTATTTTGGTACGATTTTCTTCCTGCTAATATTATATTTATCAAAAACGCTAGATAATTACAAAAGGCGCTCGATTTTTACACACCGATCGACATTTACAAAACGCTCGTGCGCTCCAACTTTACAAGTTTCCATAAAAACTAATCCAAGGAAAACGAACCTGCATTCTTTGAGCGCCATGTTCCTTCTTCTTGTGCAGCCTTGACTTTCCAGTGCGCGATGCGCCTTGCGATGTACTTGGCGGCGACACCGGTACCTATACAACTCAAATTAATAACCAAAAGTGTGTAATATCTTCTCTATCGCGATGTATTCGTCGTGTTGAAGCTTGACACAGACTTGCTTGCGAGTTACTAAAATAACTATCAAAGAAAACCGAAGATCTAAAACGTACCACTCATGCCAAGTCCTCGGCCGGCATCTCCTAGCTTTCATTGAACGACGCTGACCGTCTAATTCGCCCTACAATATTAAAGTTTGGGTGCTTCCAGGTTATTGGGGGCGGTTATCTTAGCGGGGGGCGGGGGATTAGCGAAATTCTTTTGTTTAGCTTATACCTGGCTAATAAAAACTGTTTACTCCGTTAAAATAGGGTTTTTAGTAGTTGCGATAGGTAAAATTATAAGAAATTGATACTCCTGTCACAAGATATAAGGTTTTGGCTCATTTTCAACCATTTTTCATAAATTGCAAACAAAAACAACAAATGTCCACGTGTTTTATGATGTTTTTATCGATTACGACCTCCGCTAATGGTCCAAAAACACTAAACGTCAAGTACAGGTTCATAAAACCAAGGAAAACTTTATGATTGGACCCGCATGGGATGATAGAAAAAATTTGGCTACTGCCCCACTAAAACGACAACCTCCCGATAAACTGGAAGCACAAAATTTTGCCAGAAACCTAATTGCGAACCTTTTTATTGGGTAGCTTCGAAACGGCTTGGCTTCAGACTTGAACAGCGAGGCAACGTCTTGATTCCCAGACCGGCGCCAGTTTTTTACCTAAATGGAACGTTGCATACCTGTCTTTCCATCGATTCCGTCGCTTGAGGCACCTTTCTTCTAACTAAAAGAAATAGATTAGGAGAAAACGATAAGCACCAACCGTAGAAACAGAAACATCTACGTTTGTTCCAGCTTCAGCCGCGCCCTCGCTCGCGTAGCAATACCTGGAAAAGTGTGGATTAGATTTGAAAAACGCCATGAAAGGAAAAAGGAAGGCAAAGGAAAAGAAAATTTATCGACAAAACCGCCAATTACACTAAAAAGCCAAAAGCCCTCGGCGAAATTATTCAAAATCGGCAAAGAATATCAATTTCGAGTCAATTATGCATTACTTTATCATTGGCAACCAAACACTATTGAAAATAAAGACAAAATGGTAATAAAATAGAAGAAAAACAATAAAAACTTTATCTTTTTGGCGAAAAATTTCTAAGTCCGGGATTCCAACGCTGGAATACTGTTTACGAAAGCGCCGGGTTCGCGCAGACCTGGCCCAGGTCTGCCGCCTCTGCCCGGGCGGTGCCCCGGGTTGCCCGGGTTCGGCGGAGTCTGCGAACCCCGCCGAACCCGGCGAACCTAGGCAAAGGCTCGGAAAAACCCCGCGGGGTAAGGGGCGAACCTACGGGAACCCCTCCAGTTTTCTTCCGTGTTGTTTTCTAACTTAAATCTAGTTAAATTTGACTACAACAGTAATAACATACATATTATTACATGATAATGAATTTCGGGCCGTATTAGAAAAAAAATTCGCTGTGGAAAGACCTCCAAATACTATGCGAAAATTTTAGCTGTGTTTTCAACGTTCTGAAATATAAAAATTCTGAATTTTTAAGATCAAGAATCTCGACCTTAGGAAATTCGACATTTTATAGCAAACAAAATTGGCAACAACCCGATTTTTCAGGATCCGCTTCACGGACGGCGGCAAAAGCGCCATCCAGCAATTCCGCGAAAAGCTCGGCCAACCCTCCGACGACACCACTACGGCACATGACGTCGAGGAATGGCTATCGGAATTTGTGGTCCGCAAAAACGAGGGCGCCAACTTCCAGAATGCCATGTTCAAGTATATACGCCAGATCCCGAACCGATAATTACTCGATTTTACGCCTATGACCTCACGGGAAATCTCCTTGCCTTTGTACAGAACGTGTCTTTTTACTCTTTTTATGGATTGAATAAATGTTATTCTAACGTGAATAAGCTAAATTTTTACTGGTTTTAAACCAGATTTTATTACATGAAAGATTTATGCCAAAACGACTGTCTACCTTTCGACGGGTTGTCGGATGTTTTTGCGTTTTTAGGTCGATTTCTTGGCTTTTAAAAACCGTTCTTCAGCGATGTTCCCGAATTTCGATTCGCCCGGCACTTCCGCTTCATCAAGCGCTTTTAACGACCAGATCAAAATGGAGCTACCCGACCTTCGAGAGGAGCAGCTGCCAGAATTTAAGGTATGCAAAAGGTCTCGTTCTGCATAGCTTTATCAATTTTACACTATAGAATTTATGTAAATCTACGTCAAATCTGCATAAAAAATTTGTTGCTAATGCACTTGGGAGGCAGTCCGGATTTTGACTACGAGACGCTCAAACGTCGTTTTTTTTAAGCTCTAAGCCTCTGGAAGAGTGAAGCTAAGGCTAAGCCTGGGCTTAACTTTAAGCAAGCGAATCCTAAGCTTATCTTGAACGAAATTAAGCTTAGCTCGAAGCTAAGCCCTAAATGACCCGATTTTAACCTCGTAAGGCCATTGAAAGCTTTAGAGCAGCTTAGCTTGCGCTTAGCCCTAAGCCTAAGCCTAAGCTAGGCATAGTTAAAGCCAAGCTAAGCCTAGGCTTAAGCTGAAACAACTAGTGTCAGCGGAGCGTCTCGTGGCCTCTTACTACCAATTTCGGACTGCCCCCCACTGCATTCGCACCAAAAATTTATTTATTAGCCATTTATTCTCTTTAGCCAGGCGTCGAGCTCTTTCCGTTCTCCGGTGCTTCGGAAGATTTGAGCCAACCTTGTACCAGCGGTGACCTCGTGAGTTCTTCTCTAGCTCTCCCTCCCCCTCGCTCTCTCACTCGCTCTCTTTCTCTAGCTCTCTTTAGCTCTCTTTCTCGTCCTCTCTCTCTCTCTCTCTCCTTATCTCACTCTCTCCCTATCTCACTCTATCTGTCTCTCTCTCCCTCTTTTTCTTTATCTCTCTACTTCTCGACTAAATGTCTATTTTGCAGACCGAACACTTCACCGGCAAGACGCTACAAGAGTTGATGGCCCTCTACCTTGAAGGCCTCACCGGCAAAAAGGCTTGTACCGCCGAACCCGCGCCTCCAGTCGAACACCCGCCACGGCGATCCTACGACGTAGGCTTCAAGCTCGAAGTGGCCGCCTTCGCCAAGGCGAACAGCATCCACTCAGCGTCGAGGAAGTACGACGTCGCCAGGAAGAACATACAAACGTGGATCCGGCAGCGCGAGGTGTTGCAGTATGAATTTGAAGAGTGAGTTCATTTGGCAAGCGTTTTTTTATGATTTTGGAATTGAGAAATTTATGATATTTCTATTTCCAGAGATGACCAAGCCAAACGAAAGCGACTCCTCGGTGCCGGTCGCCGAGTACGCGACGACAAGCTGGAGAACGACCTGGTGACGTGGATCTGCGAACGGCGCGCTTCTGGCCAGGCTGTCAGCCGCTCCTTGCTCCAGAAGCAGGCCATAAAAATGTCCAGTGATCCCAGTTTTAAGGTATATATTCTAAATCAAGGCATAATTGTCCAAAGATACACTTAAAACCTCTTCATCTATTTTTTTTCAGGCCAGCAACGGTTGGCTCGAATCGTTCCTGAAGCGCAATAAGATGGTGCAGCTGTCTGAGGGAATTTTTCTTATATGAACGATATCTAAGACACTATATTTATTGACTCTTTTTTACCGAATGTACAGTACACTACATTTGTGATAATTTTTGAAGTCTTTATTACGTGTAGGATTTGATAAAAATTTGTTCAAGTGATTTTACGTACTGAAGCAACATTGGATCCCGCTCGCATTCTCTTTCTCTTTCCCTTTCTCTCTCTATTTTGTCGCTCTCCCTCGCTCTCCCTCGCTCTCTTTTCACTCTCTCACTCTCTCCCGCTCCTACTCGCGCTCGTCCTCAATCTTTCTCTCCCGATGTCTGTATCACTTTCTCCTTCTCTCGCGCGCTCTCTCCCTGTCCCCCTCTCTGTCTCACTGTCTCTCTCTCTCTCTCTCTCTCTCTCTCTCTCTCTCTCTCTTTCTCTTTTCCAACTGACCAGTCCCCCAATTATGCCCCGTATAAGCAGAAGAAGCAGTGTAGTAGCCGAGACCAATTTCGGATACCCCCGATATTATCGCACCAAGCGCTGGACCCCAGAAGCGGAAGGATTTTGGGGGTCCGAGAAGAGGTAAGAATTGCTCTCTCTCTCTGCCTCTCTCTCTCTCTCTCCGTCTCTCTCTAGGTCGAGTTGTTCGCCCCCGTGTCTGAAATGCTCCGAAATTGTAAAAGGGCCCATAAATACCCACATGTCTCCTGGGTATGTTGTCTTGTCTTGTCCAAACGTCCACTCAGAGACACCCCGGGTGCGAAATATACTCCTGCATCCCTCAACACCTCGGCTCACAAATCATCGGGTCAAAATTCGAGCTGCTGTGGCTTTTTTCCTCCATTCATTGGAGCTGTCCTGCCGAATTTCATCGTGGCGACCCTCACCAGGCAGCTGTCTACCGTACCCAGTAAGTCAATCAGGGGAAGGATTTTGGATGGTCGATATTCGTTGAGCGTGTTTCTTCACAAAACGAGGCTTTTTAACCAGTTTTACAATTAAACGTTTTTGAATAAGAATTTGCCCCAACGCAGAAAATAAGGGTGTGTTGAAGAGAGACATAAAACTTTTTCACTGATTCCACACATTCAGTGGCTTGATTTTAATTTGAAGCATCTTTCCTTTCGTTCTAGACTGCTAGAAGCAACTTGGAACTCAATTTAAAAAATCAAATTAAGGCAACAAGATATATCTTAATTTAATTTGTACCAGGGTCTTACCCCCCATACTTCGTCACATTGCATAAACACCTGAATTCATGTGCAGAAAAATGCAAAAAACGCGTCCTCTCCGCCGTTATATAGGCTTCCCCCCCCCTTCCGGTGCATGCTAATTGATTTCTAACAAAGAGGCTGAGCGAGATTTTCACAAAAACTTAATTTTAATATCGAAAATAGTTGATTTTTAAAAATCTCATGTGCGCGCAGTCGTGTCATGACCATTACGCACCTAATGACGTATCATACGTACCCTTAACTTCCTCTCCGATTGAGATACGACTGGAACATACGGACGGAAGTTGCATGCAAATGCACACACACACACACACAAACACTATTTTTTTATATATAGTAGCATACTTTCTTCTAGGGTCCGGTTTCACATCGATAAATTGTCGGCTAGAAAGTAGATTTCACGAGTTTCGCAGTAGAAAAAATCGACACTGGAAACCGACTACATCTCTGTAGCTAGGTCTAGATGCGCCAAGAAAAGCACGCCGTAACACGTTCAAGATAATTCTAAGTAACAGCATGGCAGAGGAACATACATGCGTTGGTTTATCTTGATCCCTCTTGATCTTCGATTTTTGCGTAGCATATAAAGCCGTAGCGCGTTCTGCCCTACTGGGTGGATTCACGTTCTGATAATAATTTTTAAACTGTGTGGGGCAACCGTCGATACCCAATCTGGGAAAACAAGTATAATCTAGAGCGTTCCGGTCCGTTCTCGTTGATAAATACAGGCTCTTATATTGGTCGACACTTTAGCACGCACGGTTACGGTGGGTGCTAAACGTGGGGCAAAACCGAACCCAGACCACTCGCCCTGGGACAAGCGCCATAGACCACTGGGCCATGGGCGGGATGGGAGGGGGAAAGGGGAGAGGTGCTATGCAGGGTCGCTGCCCCCGCCGCCCGGCCGCCAAATTCCCGCCGCTTACCAGGGTTCCAGAACGAGAGCGGAATGTACCTTTAAGGGGCACTAAGCATGGTATCGAATTGTAGCGTATCCGAGCGTAGCATATCGGCTTTTAACTATCTGTCTATCGCGTATCGTCCAGTAGATTAGAATATCCAAAAGTAGCACTTACTACTTGGGTCCAAAGCTACACAGAAGCTCTGAATTTTTTCAACAGTCAGGGTCGACTTCAGTTCCCTTCAGTCTGACAGGCCCTTTCCACCGTACTAACCAAGGTACCGTGTCACAGCCGAAATGGCCCTAATCTACTGAAAAATGCTATGTCCGAAGTTACATCAGAAGACTTCCATCCAAGACCTGGCTCGTCCTGCACGACTTCAGCCTCCCTACCCCATTCCAAAGCCTCCGTCAAAAGCCCTGTTGACAGCTCGTAAACGGTAGCAATTCTGGCGGGGCCCAAGTATGGAAGGGAGCAAAAAAAACAGAAGACCCTCCACGCATCCCCTATTGACAGCCCATTCCACGCACCCCACCACCACCATTCCACACCCCCATAAATGTTCCAAAAAGTTGGAGACGACCAAGAAGAAGATTCCCCGGAAAACGGGCTCGCCGTGGGTGGCCCTTATGAGTTATGAGCACGAATTTAAGAAGGGCTAGGGGTGAGGGACTCATTTGGCTTTCGGCTTTGAGTTTGAGCTAATAACATCTGGACTACGCTACGATACTCTGACTACGGTAGATGTCGGTGTACAATAGGCGGGACACGGCGTTGGACGTCATCGAGGTGTTGGGTAAGTTTTTGGCTCTGGAATTTTTTGCTGTCGTTGCAGGGCATGCCGAATTAAACCAGACTATATCGAGGAAAAACTGGCTTCAGAATGCCTTTTATCAAGTTTTTATCAAGCAACCTTACCTTACCTTTTATGCAAATATTTGCTCGACCGGTTTTCCTGACGGATTCAGCTAAGTTTTCCGTTAAACTACGTATAGTTAAAGTATAGTTAAAATACATCATCAGTATCCCGAAAATAATGTTCTCGTGGTTTCTTTTTGGCTAAATTCCCGTTGTTCGCAATTTATTCCTCGGCAACCTGTAGAAAACAGAATTTTCGGCGTTTTGAGACCTCAGCAAAATGATTTTCGACGTCCTAATTTTCCACAAAATGACCGGCCAATCCTGGTAGCATAGCTGGCTTTTGGGCCTTTAGGCCTACGCCCAACGCTTTGTTACTCATCCGTATCATTGGGTTTCTCCCAGGGACGACGACATAAACCAGAAGAGTTCTAAAATTAGGCGGGTCTGCAGAATGGAAATATCTTTTTAACTTCTTTTTGTTAGCAAAAAATAGTGATTTCGATGCTGAATTTTCCAATTTTTGCATCGTCAAGACATTCTGAAAAGAGACGCTCTTTAAAAACCCCTGGAATTCGTGAAATCGAAATTTTGTTTGTTAGGCCAGTATTGAGACCACAGGTCTCCAGTGGCACCGAATTTCGAAAACTGGGTTGAACCGTATACGCCATGAAATTGAATTCCACATTTGCTAGGGAACCTATTTACGACAACAACACTATCAGTTTTCCTGCTCATTGTTTCCCGCAGCAAATAATCTCCCCAAATCCCGGCTGAATTTCTAAGATTCCTGGCGGGTGACCCAGAACCACATTCCTGCCCTAGCGACGACTCATCGGCAATCCGGGGCGTCTCCTGCTTTTTAGAGGGAGGTCTTGTCACGGCATCTGGATAGCTGGAAGTCTTGGCTTGTGTGGTGGATATCCCGGACACACGAGGGGGACACGCCCTACTCAACCACCCATCTCCACCCACCCATCCCCCCTTTTTTTTATTCTAGTGGCACCAGCACATGTAAAGCAAATAACCAGGAATTTGGATGTGAGCTGGAATTGATTCTTTATTATTTATTTTTATTTCCTAATTTTGAATTTTTGCCGCCTAAGCCCTATCGGCACCTCCATCGAAATCTATGCGAGTATGCCCTGCCTAAAAATCAGGAATGCAAAGCGATTAAAATCCAAGGATCTCCATACAGAATTCCTCCCATTTCTACGTTAATCCCTCGAACCCCGACATAAATTTTGCTTTTTCTTCAAAGCCCTCTGCTAGCTTACTCTTCCTGCAAAAATCACAAATTTTTTGATCCATGAAAATTCTAGATACTTTTTCTGTAGTTTTCCAACCGAATAGTCCTTGATAATATGCCTTTCGATTTCGATTTATCCGCTAGGGCTTTTAGGCTACAACCAAAATTTTTCTGGAGATCTCTGCTATCTTTTATTCTAACAGTAGCACCCCACATAAACCCAAAAATAATCGTCTGGAGGAACCTTTTCGTTTTAACCCAACTTTCTCTGCTTTTTCGACAGTTTAACAGGATTCTTCAAAGATCTTTGCTAGCATGCCCTTTTCCCGCAAACGCTATAAAAAAGAAGCAAGCTATTGCAAATTTTTGCAGGAATAGACTGCATGCCACATTTACTGACTAAAATTAGGCAAGTGGTGCGAGCTGCCTCCGACAAATTCTTCAGAAATTTCTGCTAGTCTGCACTGAGTTTCTGGATTAATTTTTTGCACATAAATCCGAATTTGCCTGCGTTTGGAAACTTTTATAGCAGCAATTAAGCAAAACGCCGGTCAGGGGGTTTCCCAAAAAGAATAGCCCAATAACCTAATATCCTAACGTACCCCCGGCGCCGCGGATTAATAAGAAGCGGTTGTTCCCTCAAGGAACCAGCTAGATTGCCTTCGCGGTGCCTGTAATGATTCAATTTTGGGACAAGATTGCTGCAAATTTTTATAGGTAGAAGACTTTCAGAAATCTTTAAAATCCCGGATTTGCACGTTTTCTCCAGATGTCTGGTCAAGCTGACCCTAAGAACTCTCGCT